ACCATAAAATAATATTGTCCGACCGAATGCCTAACTACGCCTCTCCACAAACTATTTTAAGTAAACCGCGCAGCCTCTTTTATTTATTTACGTGCGCACTGGTTACGTGTCGTCGCCCGGAAGATGTTATTACAAGGACCTTCACGCGCGACGCGGGAAACGATTAGGAAAACGCCAGAAAGTGTTCGGGACCAGCGTTTCCGAGGCCTTTTTAGTTTAATTTTTCACCCGCGATTTTTTGTACACGCGAGGAACCAGATAACAGTGGATCGTAATAACGATAGGTTCATCTTGTTAACATCAGACTTCACTGTAGTTTTATAATATAAAGATGATAATTATATAATTTTTAGATAGATAATATAATATAGTTTAACGTGTGAACTCCTGTTAATGTTAAAAACAAACTTGATGTTGTAAATAATTCATATTTCTGTACGAAATAATTATAGTTTCGCTCTATGCATTTTCAATAAAAAAATAATCCCTGATAAAACAAACAGAACTTAATATTTAGTAGATCCTTCATTTTGTATCGCTTGAAATATTCCTTTGGGCATCGACTGCGAATAGCGAGCCTATAATTATTTTTGTCACTGTATCTACCTGCGTTTGTTCAAATTTCAAAGAATTATTCTATGGATATTCTATCGCTAATTCGAATGTTGGCGCCATACGCGTAGTTTACCGCCAGGGGCCGCTAAGGGTAAGGTTAGGTCGAGTGTACGTCGACGATGGATGGACCGTGTAGCGTCGTTACGATGAAAGAATCGTTTTGTGGTTAATAAATCGAGTGAAGCCTAGAGAACACTTACTGCGTTATAGTATTTGCGTGTTATGTTGAATAGTAAAAGTGTTAAAGGAACAGTCCTAGCAAACGGACCGTTCACCGATCGGGGTTAGTTATACATCATTCGATTCGTCTAATTCAGTACATTATTAGTAGGCATTTCATTATTTGCGGAAATTAGTTAATTTTTTATTTAAACTTGTCGTAAAGTTGCAGTAAAAAAGTAAGGTTAAGTATATTTTGACAAGTTCACAGGTAGAAACAAATTACATACTGTCGTTACTGTGTTCATGGTGTAAATTATAGATGGTAGGTAGTCAAATGATAATTTGTTAAATATCTATGCCTAAAAGTCATTTTTTTATGCAAATACTATGTAAGAATACAAAATATTGCTCTGGCTCCTAACCTAACCCAGACCTAACTCCAGCTACAGATGTCCTAAAATTAACATTGTATATGAGAACATACAATTATGAGCAATGGTCTTATTTTATAGGACAAATAATGCTCGATTGGTTGTATAATTTCTGTATAGCAATTGAAAGAGTAGAGAATATTGTCAAGATTGATGGAACCAACATTTTGTCATAGAAAATAACACAGATTTAAGATCCCATTACTGATGCTTACGCAAATTAAATTGAGACCACTTGGAAACATGACACACATTCTTTAATCTTTTTTACAACATATAATACTACCAATATTTTATATTTTCAAGGTAACTTCATTGTATACCTGAGCCATTGTGTATTTAGTAAATGTACCTAACAGGAAAATGATGATTTGTTCAATGAAATATTACCAGAAATAACAGAAATTTCATTCTATACATGTTTAACAAACTAGCATTTTATTTCCTGGCATTTATAATTTACAACATGACCACAATAATGGCGGTTACTTAACCTTACTTTACAAGTTTAAACAAAAAATTAAATAATTTCTGCAAATAATGAAATGCATATTAATAATATACTGAATTGGGCGAATCGAATGACGTATAATTCGCCCCGATCGGTGAACAATTCGTTTGCTAGGAATATATCGTGTTAAATGCTACTGTAATGAGAAATTCGGAAAATGCAGTACCGTAACAATAATGTGACAGTGACGCGATCTAGTTTTCGCTGTGGACAACTCGCGACATTGCCTTGAAAATCTCGATTCGATTTCGTAACGATCTGGACTAAAATGCAGTTATTACATTAATCAAGGTATATGTTCATGTCATTACATCGATTAAATTCAACATAAATTGCCCAGCAAATAGTATCTACGAGTTCCTGTGGCGTTAGGTTTAGAATCTGATTCCGTTAAATTACTATTGACAAATGAAATTTAGGTTCACGCGTTCCACCTTCTAGTTCACAGTAAATGTATCGTTTCTCCCTAGGTTCGCGACAAGTCTAAAGCGTATTGGATCAAAACGCAGAACAGTAATCGTCTAATTGCCATTCGTAGCACGCACGGCCATTCAGTTGCGTTTGTTTCCAGAGTAAATACGGGTATATCGCGTGTGGTCGAAAACATTTTTTCGCTCGTATAACGCCCGACGATGACGAATACTCCCTAGGTCCCAAAGGGCCCTCCAGGAATTCTTCGAAGCGGATACGAGAGCGTGTCGTATCGCGTAGCCTACGCAATTCTTTTGAATTTTGTTCGCGAGGCTTGTACAACCAACCGATGTCGAATAAAATCTGTGGCGAGATGTTATGGAATCCCCCACCATCCCATCGTGCCCCTAATATCAAACTACTCGATAAAACATCCCTATCGGGCCCTAGAAAATCGATCTAATAAATAGTCGATCGAGTACGTGTGAAAATAAAGGTTAGGCGTGTCCCTCTGGTGGCGATCGCGGGAAGTGTCGTCGCGAATAAGATTCTGTAATTATCAGTGAAAGCGCGAATGAAAATTAAAGAGCACGCGATGTGAATGTTTCGAACTTAGATAACTTCCGTCGATGGGAAATTTTGTAGCTTGGGTTTCTCGGAGCTGGAAGAAATACTGTCGGTACGGATCAAAGGGTAAGGCGGTCGAAAAGATTGGCCGCGATGCGTTCGACCGGGCAGAGGAAATCTGCAAGCTCATGCCCTTCGAGTGCACCTTCTTGCCGCGTAACTCGAGTGGGCCCGGTCCTCTCCGCTTCCACGCCGTTTCTGTTGCAACACATTTCGTCCGCGGCAAACAACAGACCGCGGTTTACCTGGTAATTGCTGGAAACACCGGGCCGAGTGTTTACAGTGTCATCGAGTTGTGGTCACACCTTGCCGCGCCGCCACTTCGAAAGCTCGGAATTCTTCAGCTGTAATCACACGCTTGAACACCTTACGAAGGGCCGTCAAACTGTTCCGAACCCTCGCGAAAAATTCCAAGCGTCGTGTTTTAAAGGGAAAACGTTCCACAGCCAGAAGTTACGCGTGGGTAAATATAAAATAGTTTCTTTAAATATCAAAATATAAAATCCTGCATCTTCAACGGCAAAATGCTAGAGTTCGTCGAAAAATAGTTCCTATCCCCAGCTTATCCTTTCCGACATTGTATCGTAATTATTTTTACATTTCTTAGTGCATTAACATAATTTCACATCACGTTAAGCGTAATGTACATTAACTTGAGATTATATACGTTTGTCTATTTAATAAACTTAAAAAAGAATGCACTGGTAAACGAACGATTGCACCGCCATCTACGGCGCAACGTGCAAGCTTGTCGAGAAGTAGTACACTATTCGACGCTAGGTAGCGCCTCGCTCATATTCGATCGAAAAATATTTTTTCATAATTATTAGTTACGCATTGAACGGTTCTATGGTTCTAAAGCCAAGATACTTTTGCATCACACAAATTAGTTATAAATTATATACATCGAAGCCCAGTTCTCAAAATTAGAATCTGATAAAGCAAACACGAAAAGTTCTCATCGTTTGCAACTCTGAATGCTTTGAACAATCATTGCTTGAGCACGGTAGATGTGATCGTATCAAAGACGAGATATGCGAGTAAACCTTTCGCCTTATGGACTTTCATGGCTCAATATGACTGCCATACCGACCTGAAAATTCGGAGGTGATTTCAGCGCCCTCTTCTCACGAATGGCGGTCACTTGAGAAACTATTCACTGAATTAGCATTGATGGCCAGACAGCTGTAGTTCTGTGCATGAGTACATGTGAGTTGACTATGAAAGGGATTGAAATTCATTTCTAAATCTGTTGGTAATATTGCGAGTGACACGAAAATAGTAATGGGGTTTCGATTGGATGAAATCACGTATTCATTCCTTCGACCTTCTATCTTCTATACGATACTTTCTTTTGTATAAGTTTTCATCTTTCATTTCTCATCAGTAAATTATACAGGATTCTAACAAAGATACGTAAACTGCGTCACTAAAATCGCAAAACAATATCTTGCAACACCCAACAAAACAGATTAATGCACACGAAGAGAAGTTGTTAATCGAATATAATCATTATTATCTAAGAGCTGATTATAGTCAAAGTGTACCTGGACTTTGAAATGAGAACATAAAACTTAAATGCAAAGTTTCATTTAAATTCATTCAGCCATTTATACACAATCGTATTAATAATATACATATGTACGCTCATACATAGGAATAATAAAAGAGAGAATCTCGACTCGAGATTCCAAATCGTATGTCGTTGACGTGAGGTCAAATTTCAGTTGTTGAAGAAAGAGAAAGCAAATGTGAGCCTTTCTCTCTCGACTCCCACGAGGCGGTCCGAAATCACTTCGGGCAGCTTCGGAGAATCGAGAAAGAGGGCTTGCGTCAGGTTGCCTTTGTCGACTCTCCGAAACTCTACGAGCTCACTTACGCGCGATCCTGCATAGTGTGAGTAGTGCAGCCGGTGCTCAATCCGACATCTCTGCTACGCCATCTATGTTACTAGTGGTAACCTCTATTCACCATACATCGATTGTACTTCTATGTCATATGGATAAGCTTTTTTGCGTCGTGTGTTCATGAAAATAAAATAAAATTTTGTAAGGTTGATAGTTTACTGTACTTTTAAGTGGGAAGAATGTTGGAGAAAGAATACGTGTGTGGTTTTGTAAATGCATGATAAAGCCGAGTCGTAATATATATTGAATATGTAATGTTAGTCTGTTTCAGAATAATTTTTGCTAATCGTAAAACTGTTATAGCACGTATAAAATTAACAAACGATCGTAGTGTCTGAATTCTGAATAGTATAAAGAAATGCAAATAGAAACAAAGTTTGATATGTGAAAGTAATATGTTGGCATAGATACATACGTACCATCAGAAAATAGACAATAACGATAAAGTTCATGTCATATGTTGATTAAATCAAAGGTACATTAATGTCTTTCATATTGTCGATAGAACGTAATAATATATACAAGTTATATTAATTTTATGATATTTGAGAAATAAAAGTACGCCAGTGAGTATGTTTCAATAACGTTTCGGTGGTATATTGACGAAAAAGTGTTTATTCAGTTTTTCATATTCGACTAAGTGTCGATTTGAAATTAACTTCTAATAAAACTTCACGGAAATTATTACGTTTTTATTTTATTGTATTATCATTGTATGTTTGATGATGTGTTATTTTGCATATCATTGTCATATTTGCATTTTTTTTTTTTTTTAAACGTTTACGATACGATGAAAATAATTGTATTTTTTTTTAATAATTTTCAGAAGATATCTTAATTTTTTATCACAGTAAAGCGATTTATGAATCAAATATAGAAATGCTTAACATATACGATAAAGATTATAGAGTTTTGGATTTGGTACGGCAACGTGAAATACAGGTATGTTAATGAAAAATCTATAACTTGAAATAATATTTTCAAATTCTGTTCTTGAATATTCACAAACTTTGTAAAAAACTGTATACGTGTAAGTATTTTTATCGTTACGAGCAAAATATGTTTCTCAAGCAGCTTTTTCCAAATTTTCTATGTAACTTAAGTTATAGCTGCGTTTACACAAAAAGGATTATATTATAAAGATCAAATTATAAGCTATTTATTGGTAAAAGAAAGAGATTAATTCTGCGTTAAGATTAACGTAATATCTTGAGTAGAGAATAGAGACATCGAGACAATATGATTTGTAATTCCTTCAAGGACTAATCATTTTTCTTCCCTTTGTTACATTTATTATGTAATCTGAATCTAAAAAATTATATACTTTATTCTTTTAAGGAATTTTATGGAAAATTTATTTGTATTGCACAAAGCATTAATGTTTTATATTGTGTAGAATACTGTTTGGAGAATCGTGCTCTTAAGTTTGACCCACTATTTCAGAAGTTAACACTTTATCGACCGGTAGCCTATTAATCGGCTTTTCGATTGCCAATTTTTATCGGCCGATAGCCTGCTAATAGGTTTTTGGTTGTCAACGGTTTTCGTTCAATGGGATTTACTGTTAAATTTGTTAATTTTATAACTAAACCAGTCCTTACTGAGTGGCAACCTCAACCACTATCGGTAGATAAAATCGTTTACAATAAGAGTATCCTGATATTTGTAAGATTGTAAATAATGCTACTGTTGTTAGGAATTCTGTAATATAGAAAACTGACATGGTAGCCAATGTGTTAATATTCAATGACAGAAAGTTACTGTGTTCCTATATTACATTGGAAGAATTTTATTTAGGATTCTGTGGCATATGCGGTCTCTCAGAAGTTACACGTTACAGAAAGTTTGATATCTCGATTAGGTTTGGAGAAAGAATTGACTGGGCACACAGGATGCGTCAATTGTTTAGAATGGAACGAAAGTGGACAGTAAGCACTATTAATTAAATAACAAGTATTGTAATAAGTAAAACATAATGTAAAATTTATTCTAAAAGAAAATCGATGATTATTTACTTAACACTAGATTTATGGAACTCAAATATTATTTGTTAGCAATTAATTCTAAACTATATTTTAATATAACTATCAACATAATGGATTTCAATAAAAATTTACACATATGATGTTCGTAAATTTAGCATTAAATACTTTTATATAGAATGACAAAATTAATGTGTACTTTTAGGATTCTTGCTTCGGCATCCGATGATATGAACATTATTTTATGGGATCCGTTCCGATATGAAAAGAAATTGGTACTTCGGACAGGTCATCATGGAAATATATTTTCCGTTAAGGTAATTACATACGTTTATGTCGAATGTGATAAACATTTGATACTAGATTTCTTGTACTCAAGAATTTTTCAATTTATAAATTCTAAGAATTTGTACGATTGACTTTTTATCAACAATAAGAGAAGTATTGAATCCTTTTATTGTACATATGGTTTTAGTTTATGCCAAAGTCAAATGATAGTATACTGGTGTCAGGTGCTGGGGATAGTGAAGTACGAGTTCGTGATCTTACACTACTTGAACCCATACTTATATGTAATTGTCATTATGGTCGTGTCAAACGCATTGCTACCGCATCTACTGTACCTTTCCTCTTTTGGAGCGCTGCAGAAGATGGTCTTATTTTGCAACATGATATTCGCACTCCTCACACCTGCAAGAACAATGAGTGTAGTACCGCACTGATAAATCTTGTTAATCATTTGGGTCGATACGCAGAAGGCAAATGTATTTCTGTCAATCCGAAGAAACCTGAACTAATAGCTATCGGAGCGAACGATGCCTACATACGGATGTACGATCGCAGAATGATTAAACTTTCTCAGGTAATTATTAAAAAAAAAAAACAGGTGATTCGATTCTATTTACATTCCGTTTTTTAACATATTGTGTACTTTTTATTATTTTCTTTTTATACTATTAAAGTCTTACAAACAACGAAATTTAACGAAAGGTACAATTTTATTTTTTAAGTATTTTTTGTATTTTCTGTATAACAGGTGCCTGATATCTCTCCTCTACGCAATGACTGGGAGAGAGTAACTTTAAATCTACCTCGTGCTGGTGAAGGCGATCCAGATGAGAATATACCATTGGGTTGCGCACAGTACTTTATCGCGGGTTCGTTCGTACGATCAGAGATAGCGTACGCGACTCCTTTACCCTTATCTTCCTCTTTTGCTACATATTACATGATTGCTTTAACAGAGACTGTTAATGTTTGATATTGAGCAGGCCATCTGCAGTCTCGAGATCGTTTCAGCAGGACTCTCACTACCACATATTTAACCTTCAGTGCTGATGGGACTGAGCTACTCGTTAACATGGGTGGCGAACAAATTTATTTATTCGACATCAATAATCCGAAAACGTTGAAGACGTACCTTGGATATTCCGCGAATATTCCTTCAGGTAACGTTCAAAATTATTTTGAACTTTTGTGCTTTCCTTTCTAATCGTAAAAGAAATATGAATTTTAAAATCTATAAAATATATTTAACCCTTATGTCAACGTAAAGAATTTTTTTTATATAAGTCAGATATAAAATTATGATTTTACTTCCTACGTCCTTGTACTCGGTAACTTCTTCGTAAATTTTTAAAGCGATTTTTGCAATATTATAAATACATTGAAAATTTGTTAATGTAATATGGAAAGGAGTATTCTAGTATCCGATTATTGGCATAAGGATTAAACTCTGTTATAACGGGTGCAACACGAAAATAATAATGTAATAATTTGAAATGATCAAAGCAATTCTTTACATTATTTAATACATTAAGATTTATTTGTGAATTTATATATAAAATACAAACTCGAACGTATTCACATTACGAAACTCATGACTGTAGAAGATTTTAAAAAGTGCTGTGCGGATAAGAATCACTTGGACAGTATAGACGCCACTAGTAAGGATGTTAAAGTCTTGCCAGTTCATGTTGAAGAATTAAAATGTCAAGTAAGTTTACTGTTCAAATTACTGTTTTTTAATTATCTAACCAGTTTAATCAATGATTTTATATTTAAGAAAAAGTGCTTTTTTACATATTGCATACGTATTAAATGCCCTGTTTAACACGTTAAACAACAGTATCGAATTAAAAAAATGATACTTTACAGTTCATATGATATTAATAAATATGTTCACATTTTTTAAATCAATTTTATTGAGATATTTTAAAGAAAAATTAGGTTTTCTACTCGTGAAAGTGAGATAAAATTTACTCTGTGTGTTAACGTGTTAATTCAAAATAAAAAGTTTGTTCGCTACAATAAATTTAAAAGTAAAATTACTAAGTTAATTCTATTTTTCTTTCTTTTTTTTTTTCTTTTTTTTTCTTTTTTCTAGGCTAATCGATGTTTTGAGCAACGAAAGTATACATTGGCAATTACTCTCTATAACAAAGCAATAAGTTACTGTCCCAATGCAGCTGTACTTTTTGCTAACAGAGCTGCAGCATACATGAAACGAACCTGGTACGAACTTTTAATTATTGCACTTAAAGATTTCGAATTCACGAGAAAAGCGAAAAGGAATTAATTTTTGGAGCGATAAATAATTTTGTATATCAACACATCGGCGTCTAGGCGTGAAACAAATTAGTATAACTTGGACCAATTGATATGTTTCAAAGCAATTTCGAGAATAGCAGTAGATTATTTTTTTTTTATAATAATTTACACTCTCCTAATCCGCACGTGTACGAAGTTTTGCAACTTATTTTGTGAGAATATAAACACATTTTTTTTAGACACTTCTATCTGGCTAAAAGCTTTCACGGATTTCTGTTATTTTCGATAAATTTTTTCAGTAAATTGTAATGGAAGGGCTTATTTAGAAGTTGATAGTTGATAGTTAATGTGTCTTTAATATCAGAATCTGATGTATGAGATATTTGATTCTCTTCAAAATTTCATTAAAAAATACAGAATAATTTGAATAAAGTACAGGAAGGAAGGTAAAAAAACTGTAAAGTTTACTAAATGATTTCAATGTATTTCTGTTAATTTTCGTTGAAACATTCTTGTGTACCATTATGCATTAGAATGTAAGATTAACTTTTTAATTGATTCTCTTATGAGAATACTTAAAAGATAGTGTTTTTGTATCATGTTGTCTAGAGTTGAAAACATTCAACATCGTATTATAGAAAGGGCAAATGAAAGTGTTAAGTAATGTAAAGAAAAGAATGAAAGATTATTCAGACTGCAACAGTAAACCGTTTGAATATTTGTTGTAGTGTGAATATCCCATAACATCTGTAAAGTACAACAAAATAATTTAATAAACTTTAAAGTGGTATAACTTTTGAATTATTAAGTATAGAACGTAAGTACGTTTAATACTTTTTTGTTGCATCGAATGGTGCGATCGAAATTATAGAGTTTCATTTAGAAAAAGGACACAGTTGCATCTTTTTTTAGATACATTGATACATAAAAATGATTAAAATTAATTTGTAGGGATGGTGATATATATGCTGCTCTTAAAGACTGTCAAACTGCACTGCTTCTTGATCCAGGTCATATAAAAGCGCATTTTAGGTATTAATAATTGTATATATTATGATATTGCTTGTATTTAATATACGAATATATAATGTATTGCATATGTGTCTATAGATTAGCACGATGCCTGTTTGATTTATATCGGTCAGTTGAAGCTGACAAAGTAATTAAAGATTTTCAGCAAAAGTTTCCTAAATATGCATCCAATTCTGCTTGCGAGGCATTAAGAATGGATATAGAAGAAGCTATAGATTCTGGTATGTACCGTTTTAAATTTTATTCGAATCTTAAATTATTCTTATATTTTCGAGTGTAAACTTGTATAAATATTTAAGTTAATATACAGGGTGTTCGGCCACCCCTGGGAAAAATTTTAATCGGGGATTCTAGAGGCCAAAATAAGACGAAAATCACGAATACCAATTTCTTAACCGAGGCTTCGTTAAAAAGTTATTAACAATTAAATTCGAAAATTTCAAATCGTTCTGGAAAAATTATTTTTGGTTGCGGGGGTCAATTACAATCATTTTTGGTCATTACACATACCCCCGAAATCCTACCCACTTTCTAGAAAAAAATTCGAGAAGGTGTGAAATTTTTCGACGGGAAAAAAAATTTCAAATCGTTTTGGAAAAATTATTTTCAGTTGCGGGGGTCAATTACAATCATTTATGGTCATTACACATACCCCCGAAATCCTACCCACTTTCCAGAAAAAAATTCGAGAAGGTGTGAAATTTTTCGACGGGAAAAAAAATTTCAAATCGTTTTGGAAAAATTATCTCCGGTTGCGGGGGTCAATTACAATCATTTATGGTCGTTACACATACCCCCGAAATCCTACCCACTTTCTAGAAAAAAATTCGAGAAGGTGTGAAATTTTTCGACGGGAAACAAAATTTCAAATCGTTCTAAAAAAATTATCTCCGGTTGCGGGGGTCAATTACAATCATTTATGGTCATTACACATACCCCCGAAATCCTACGCACTTTCTAGAAAAAAATTCGAGAAGGTGTGAAATTTTTCGACGGGAAACAAAATTTCAAATCGTTCTAAAAAAATTATCTCCGGTTGCGGGGGTCAATTACAACCATTTATGGTCATTGCACATACCCCCGAAATCCTACGCACTTTCGAGAAAAAAATTCCTTACCGAAAATCTAATTAGGTGCCTAAATTTTTCGACGGAAAAAAAAAAATTTCAAATCGTTCTGGAAAAATTATTTTCGGTTGCGGGTGTCAATTGCAATCATTTTTGGTGGATAGACATACCCCCGAAATCCTACCCACTTTCTAGAAAAAAATTCGAGAAGGTGTGAAATTTTTCGACCGAACACCCTGTATTTTTTACTGGTGTATTTAATCACTTGCGCTGGAAACATGATTATTGTCGCGTTCGAAACAAACGTCGTTCCAGCGCAAGTGTTCGAAACAATTCATCCTTTGTACAAATTCGTTAAGAATCTTTGTTTAATAAATGGTCTGGGTTATATATAACTATTTTATAATTAGGCAGAGATCATTATATGAATCAATCAGTGATACAAGTATCCGAATACGAACAGGCATGGCAACATAATACAATCGACTATAAAATGAGATTCTATGGACACTGTAATACAACAACCGACATAAAAGAAGTTAACTTCTTCGGAAAGTAAGCATATATATTTTGAAAAATACTTAATCATTTAAGGTACATATTTATCCATGGTATATTGATGGTTATTAACATTTTTCTTCAAGCAACGGCCAATATATCGTGGCAGGATCGGATGACGGTTCTTTTTTTATTTGGGATCGAAATACCACGAATATTATCCGCGTATTAAGGGGAGACGAACTGATCGTAAACTGTCTTCAACCTCATCCATCCACCTGTTTATTAGCTACCAGTGGTATCGAGCCAGTAATTAGATTATGGAGTCCCTTACCCGAGGTACGTACTAATTTATCCGTAAATATTTTATCGAAAGAGAATGCAACAATTGCACGTACAAAATTGCTCCACGTATTTCTATTTTGTCGTCATAAAAATAATTCAGATCGCACAAAGACATTATTCTATTCTTCGATATAGGATGGTAGCGTAAACGAAAGAGAAATTCAGAATTTAGAAGACGCGGCGTCCGCAAATCAAGTACTTATGAACTCCGATCCGTTCTCGGTAATGCTCATGCATATGGGGTATCGATTCCCCGTTCAACAGATTCAAATTATATAATGAAGGTGGCGACGAGCATCACGATCAGTCAATTATGCAACCTTTGAATTGTAGACCAAGCTAAATTGTGAAAAAAAAAAAATTATGAAAAAGTGACGCAGAGTGTGTTGAGTTATTCGTATCACCGAATGCGGAATAATCTACGAGTAATGACCCCCCGTTAAAATTCATTTACATCTGTTAACTAAATATACAGTATTTTCTCTATAGAAGCGACGCTCTCGAATTTCCTTCGCTTCGGGTCGACTGTAGCGAAACACAGGCGTGTTTACAGTAGCGCCCTCTACCTCTCTTGGTAGAGGTCGCAGAAGGAACTAACTGATTCTGCATAGGTTCAATCAAGAGTCGTTCTTCGTCCACGCTATAGTCGAGCGTCGTTGAGCCCCGAGAACGCCGTTTCTACAGAGAAAATACTGTACCTCGAACTATCTACGACATCGACATTTTGTTGGCAATCTACTGGTACTATCCATATTTTCACTTTCTCCAGATCGTTATACTACTTGGCCATTGTGACGCTTTCGGTGGTATACAGTGGCGGACAAAAGTTTCAAGGCTGTATTTTCGATGAATTATAATACTAAATTAGCCAATAATTCATAGTTGGTCTTGCAATCGTACATACTTTAACACTTCATCTGTAATTGACTTAACAACCCTTCGAACATAAGCAGTATGTGACGCATAAGGACAATGAAATATTTGATTTAATTTAAGACTATATTTGAACAAAATTATTTACATTGGCGCAAATAATAATAATGTCTTGGAAAAGTTAATACACCACCAAAAGTTTAATTGTCATAATCCCAAATACAGTTTACATTTATGATGTTTATGAGTGTATATATGTTTGCAAGACCAACTAAAAATTGTTCATTATTTATAATATTTTGCAGTCGTCTTAAACTTTTGCGCGCTACAGTAGGTATCTTAACACCTGCGGAATATTCCGCTTTCTCGATGCAAATAAGTTGAACCATGGAAGACTTATTCAGTGCTGTATTGTAGAATATTTGTTTCAATTCCAATTATCTATTTTTTTATTAATTCTGTGCAGTTGTTCACTTTTCCATAAATAAAGTGCTAAGGAATATTTGATGTTAATAATACACTAAAAAGTAAAAGAAAATAGTGGCATATAAACCATTTATTGATCTTTCTATTGACAAAATAACGAATAACGAAGAGTACTTGGCAAAGTGTTGTATTTAGTCAATACTATTGGTTTATTGTATCTCTCACACAGTTATCTACTAAATAGAAAATAAATCGAGTTACGCAAATCTTAACGAAACGTTTATGGATATATTTTATTGCTATTAATTATTTTCTTTATATTATTAAAATATTTCATTACTATTAGTTCCAATTATATATGTTGTATGATATTACTTTCATTTAATACATTAATACACACTATAAATGAGGAGTTCTTGCTATTTTAGGTGAAAATTAATATGTCCGTAACGCTCGAAAGTTTACAAATATTTTCTAAATTAATTTTGAGGCACGAGTTCCCATATACTCTGCAATTTAATAGCTTCTTCGGAATTCTCTGCGGCAAGACCCAAGTAATTCGAAAAGCTAGGTTTCCTTTGATTGAACCCTTCAGAAAAATAGTAACCGAACACGTTTAAAATTTCGACTTGACTGTCCTGTATTTCAGAGTACTGTTCTATATTTAGCTCCTGTTGTAATGGCGCCTGTAATGATTAATGTACTATTAAGTGACAATGTAATATATTTACTTATTCAATAAATCGTTTTTAAAAATTACATTTCTCCAACATTACCTCGTGTTCGAATGTATAGTCTACGCCAAAGATTGGAAACTTTTCGAATGTTTTGTATAGCATTAAAATTTCTTTATGAAGAGCCTGAAGCCTCTGTATAGGTCTAACTCGAAAACCTAATATATACCCCCCACTAGATTCTGTGCTACTGATGACCAGAGTTGACCCAAATTTTGAATTTTTAATAGTGATCTATCGGAAAACAAAACCTTCGTTAAATTTTTTATCGTACATATGTAACACATTTCCATTGGTCTACTTACATTTCCTATTACGAGGTATGGAATTGATATATTGAATTGATAATTCATATTAGCATACCATACTAGGCGTATGTTTGTTACAATTAAAGTCCCCATATTTCCCTAATAAAACAAAATCGTGATATTTAATATTTCTAGAATAGTTAAAATTTGTTATAAATGATAACTTGGATCTTAAACCTGCTCTAATGATAAATTCCAAATGTCTTGTGAAGTTGATGATACTGTTTCTTGCGGGAGTAGAGTTAACAATTGTTGATCATTGATTATTCCACTCCTTAATTTAATTTCACGATAAATCTTGGATGAAATGTAAGCTCTGTAACATTGTATTTTGTAGAGCATCATTTATTCATGTAATTTACATTGTAAATATGGTAAATAACAATCACTGTTTAGTGAAAGACTCTTTGTGAAATCATTTCTATCTATTGCATAGATATATTATTTGAATGTTAAAAAAATGAAAACAATTGGAAACAAACGAGTACTTCTATATTAGGAACTATTCCTCTGTAATCCTAAACTGATATTTTGTCTTTTGAAAACATAGTATGTAATCGGTAATAGGGTATTTAGGGCTAGATTAAAAATGTACCTGTATATACCAATAACAGATGTATAATGTCTTGTACTTTTTGGATTTTGATTTGTAAATATAAATTCATATCTACAATTTCGGTAAGAGGTTAAAATATACAGAGCTTGCATATGCCTCCCTTGTAACTGTAAAAGTTATTTTTGATTTAATAAATAGGATACCTCAGAAATAAAGGGTCCCACTTTGATAACATATTCTACTTTTGGGAACTCTTTCTTTCTGAAATATAAACACATTTTATATACAAAATTTTCACGAGTAAGTTACTGCATGTAAAATTACAAGCATCGTCAACGTTTTTTTTCTGTCAAAAGAAAAATAATGTACATCACGCCATTCCGACATTGAAGATAACATATCATGTTATCAGGATGATTTATGTCTCCTTTTGTCAGGAGACCTTTCTTTTTTCGCATATGATAACATTTATGATGTATCAGGAATTTTTAAATGTCAATGTGACGTGCGTATAGTTGCAGAAAGAAGTCATTTTCAGTAATTTCTTTAAGCAAGGTTTAACCATTCGGCAGATGTTTATATAGAACATCCTATCAAAGGAGGACCATCTGTTACAGAGTTTATATATACAAAGTGTTTAAGTTTACTAAAGTATACCAACAGTGTGTATAGTTTTAGAATTCACAGCTACGAAAGCATTATAGCCAATACCTGTAAAAAAAATATATTTGCGTAAGATTTTACAACTGTTAATACAAGAATTTATAACACGTGTCTCGTAATAAATTTGTTCTTGTTACTATCGTTATTATTAAGTTTCTTTTTTGATATCTGAAACAAGTTGCATTTTTCCAAAAGGACAGAACAAGAAAAGTGAATTGTTTTTAAGAGATGAAAATTAAAACACTTCATTTAGATCGGTGGTTCTTACTTAGATTTATTCGTGGAAGAAGCAAAGAATGCCATATAGTTCTGAGATTTGTTACTATAAGTCTTCCATTCTCGCCTGCATTTCCTTTTGTATCTTCTATCAAATCAAGTTTGTCGACAGCAAATTCTCCCAATCGTAGTTGCATTTGACTAGACAAAATTTAAAATGTTATATAAATCAAATATTGTTTTTTAATACTTTACGGAAAATATAAACATATTTTTTTGCATTATTTTATATAAAAAAAGTAACTATACATAATATATACTTTATATACTGCTGTTTTATTTTAAAATTTAATATAATTTTCACAGTATTGAAATATATCAATATTAATGAAATACAGCATTACTTGTAAGGAATATCAAAGCGAACTTCTTTATCCTGCCACATTTCTAACGAAGACGTATCCAATATCAATAATTTTACAGGATTCATATAATATAAAAATCAATATTGTTGCCATAACTACAGGAGTATAACATCAATGGAAGAATTCTTATGCCTCGAAAAGCTTTGTATTATATTTTATTTGGAGTTACTTATGTTTCCAAATTAAATATAATTTCAATCATAGAAAATATAGACATTTTAATGTTTTATATTTATAATTTATTTTATCATTTTTTATAGTCTAAGTTACGTTATTCGTGCTATAGGAGTATGTGCAGCTAGTCGCAAATTTGAGCGTACATTCACATTAAATCTGTGCTTCATAAAATACAGTAAACAAAAAATTGTAATAATTAATGAATTTAAATATTTAACTTTACTGTATTTTCATTCGCATTCGCCTGGAAAACAATTAGTATTAAAAATAAGTTAGTTTTCTTTTTTATTAATGTTTCAAAACCTGCAACGATTTTACCAACATAAAATTGAACATACGGAATAGGATTCCCCTAAAAATGTATATTGTTATATATTGTGTATTAACTTCTCTATTAGAGAAGTTAATGTACATATGCAGAAAGACAATACTAATAATATACAGAAACTGTATGGTCTAAATAAGTTTTTAAAATTATCATAAATAGAGGCGAAAAAAAGGTGTTGGATTCAGGTGATTCAAATAGCCCGCTGACTCTCTAGCCAATTTAAAGGGACAAAATCAAGTAAGGCTTTCAAAGATGCTGCCCAGAGTAGTATTTCGTAACGAATCTACTTGTTACGTCCTGATCAGCAGTCTAGGGGAATGAGGAGATGGGTTCTTGATGAGGCGCATAAAATAAAGAACTCGGAAAATTTTCAGTGCAACTTCAACAATTTAGTTTATTGAAGAAAGTTTATAGCCCTCGGTTTTTCCTGGCTTGATTTTGCCCGCGTTGAATTTCATACAATAGTGTAGGGAGCATGAAATAACTCCCTAGTTACTCCCGCAGATGGCGCGATTGGCGCCGATGCCAACCGTTGAGAGAGGCCGGGATGCTATAGGGAATTTGTCCCTAGATACTCCCTGGGCCTCGAGAGACACGGGACAATCGAGAGGTCTTCCCCGAGCAAGCCTGAGAGACGGTCCAATAAAACACTCGTCCGCTAAGCCACGTGTAGTTATTTCGTACAACCCTGTGTCCATATACGTAGGCCAGTGCCTACAATAGTAATATGTGGTGTCTCAACAGTGTCAGCTATTACCACAGGTTAGCGACCAAGCTAGATGTCTGCACAGAGGGTGCAGCTTCCATCATCGTCCGGTAGACGGCGCACGAGTTTGGGGATTAGTTCGCCGCGCCACCGTAGAAAGCAGACGTCACGCGTGGATTTCTAGTTCCTTCTTCCACATCCGTCTCCCGACGAGAAAACACCATACATTTGGCGCTCAGGCAGACTTTTTATTCGCGTTGCCACCTGCAGTTCAAACTTGTACATTGTTATTGTGAATTTGTTGTGTTAATAAAGTATCAAACTTAACTATATTAGGACTCAAATTTCCTATAAATATACATTATAATACGTTCGTTTGAATCTCACTCGCTTGAATTGATGGTGATTAATCCAGTTACAATAAATTCCCGTCGCGGCGCTGTGTGTACCAAACCCAAATCCACGCAATAACGTAATATTGCCTTAAATTTAATTCCTAGTTATACCGATTCCGATAAAGTAACATGACACATGTATATCACGCTTATTTGAATTGTGTCAAAGTAATGTTTATAGTGAAAATCGCGAGCGGAATGGTGTGATAACAGTGCAATATATAAAATTTTGTCGATTAAACTTATAGACAGTATGCGACTTATATATAAATAACAGTACAAATAATAAATAATAGTTATAAGTAATCTGGAAAGTCAATTAAAATGAATTTAGTAGTTGCTTTAAAATGTTACATTACACGAATGACAGAAGACAGTGGGCCTGGTATGAAAGTCCTTTTGATGGATAAACAAACGGTAAATATTTAATAAATTGCATATTAAAGTTGAACAAAATTTAAAGGAATTATAAAAGCATTTGTCCATTTTGTATATATCAAATGTTAAATGTATTTTATTAACAATCGACGAAAATAGTAAATAATAATATAAATCTGTATATTCATTAAATAGGGCAACTATAAAAATAGTATGGTATGTAGTAGATGGTTTTCAACTAAATGGTGGTAGCGAATTTGTTCAATTTCTCATAGATCAGCGCAGAGGTGGATTTAGGTATAGGTATACAAACAATAAATAATACGCATTAAAACATTTTAAATAAGGAATAATAAATTTTCATAAAAACTACTTTTGGATCTAGCATTTTAAGTTTTTATAGTCCTCCTCCTACTCTCTCTCTGTCTCTGAATCGCTGTACGCTGTTGCAGTTTTGGGAGCATCTCGTTCAGGTTTTAAAAACTAATCACATTGCAAGAATTATCCTGTTTGTGAAAATATGTTCGATTGTTCATGTTTGGAATATACAGGTTCTTCTAGATATTAACCCCTTAACGTTCATGCCCGAGTCTGATGGCTTTGAAAACAATATTTGTTTAATCCAACGGGTTTAAGGGATGATAGTATTTGTTTTCCTGCAAATTATACGTTAGATACAACATTGTAATTAACAAAAACCGTATTTTTAGAAAGAAATTCAATGAAGAAAACTGATCATTGTTGGTTAACCCGAAAAATATGTGCGTTAAGGAGTTAATAGTCAAATTGTATCTGTATATTCCATAGATCTAAATAACAAGAAAAAGTAAACGTAGATCCTTCAAAGCTTTGTGAAGAGTTATAGGAAAAACACAGAATACGAAGGGAACAGTATTGGACTTGCGATTATTATAAAACAATATAGGCCTAGATTAGCAATATTTGAATCTAGTCTATGCGAGCTATGTTTACTAGCAGATGTCCATCTATGAGGTGGTTTTAAAACGCGTTTTTATTAGTCATACATTCCTTATGTTATCATTTTTGTTTTAATTTTTTACATAGTTGAATAAAGATATGTACAAAAAATAAATAATATAAATCATTTATCCTATAGTTATGAATGTTTGTATACGGAATTGCGTACTTATTATCGAAACTATCGCTAGTTTTAAATTGAGAAATTCATAAAGTTAACTTACAGTAGTGCCCACTTAAGTGTCCGCGCTCGGGACCAGTTTGGTAAAATGATATTTTATCTTACCGAGTTCATAAACAAACATAGATCCTTGGTGAGATAATGTAAACTATATCGTGAAAAAATTTCTGTATTTACAGACAAGTATAGTGAGTTTATTATACAGCCAGTCGGAGATATTCATGAAGGAAGTTTATCTGTTCGAAAAGATCGACGCAAATATTCGTAACGAAGGCTTGAAACATTTGAAATGTATAGTTTTCGTGAGGCCAACGAAAGAGAATATCGAGTTTCTTTGCGATGAGTTACGATGTCCTAAATATGGCACATATTATATTTGTAAGTAACGATAATGTATTAATACTATTTAATTGTTTTTATAGCAAATAAATTAAATAATACAGTTTCTGTACGCGCGTATAAAGTATTGCATACAACGACTTATTTTATTTCTATTATTGATAAACTAATCCGTATAATTGCTATATCGAATTTGAATAATATTGATGGTTACTTCTAATTATACTAGACAACAGTATTTTTAAACAAAATGCATTAGACGCTTTCTTTTGTCGTGTATAATGAAATTTTAGAGTTTTGAAAGAATTCCAAGAGTTGTTTAAAAAATGAAATTATAATATTTAAAGAGGAGAAAATTTTTTTACGTTTTTCGTAGATCTAGTTATTTTCTTGCTTCAAGTATGTTTCATTGATATTTCTCGAAGATTAATCGAATGAAATGTGATTCAAAGAATTTATTCGAAATGTTGTAAAACGTTAGCGATGATAATACGTTTATAAACTAATTTTAATTAAATATAATATTTTACACAGATTTCAGTAATATTATCGCAAAAGCTGATATCAAGCTTCTAGCTGAAAGCGACGAACAAGAAGTAGTGAAAGAAGTTCACGAATATTACGCAGACTATTTAGCTATTAGTCCACATTTATTTTCACTTGGAATTAAAGCGTGTTCTCAAGGTAATGTAACTTCTTTATTTGTAAGTTAATTTATAATTCTGTAACATTAACGTAACGTTCGATCAGACGTGTGTTAAATCACGTAACTAGAACTTCGATTTATATCTCAGGACTTATTAACACATTACCGACCGATAGCCTATTAATCGACTTTTTTACCGGCCAACACTTACCGACCGATAGCGTATTAATAAACTTTTTTACCGACCAACGCTTACCGACCGATAGCCGATTAATCAACCGCTACCGGTCGGTAAAGTGTTAAGAAAAATCGACAGGGGGGCAGGTGCAGAAATTTTTAATCAATTACAATCATTTTTGTTGAACACACATACCCCTAAAATTCTATGTACTTTCGAGAAAAAAATTCTTTATCAAAAATATACTGTGTGGCCTGATATACATATGTATGTTTCTGTGAGACACGAAAATGGTAATGGGGCGCTAGAGGCCCAGAAAAATTGGCGGGAAAAAAATACAATGAATGTAAGATCTACTCGTATAACTCGTCTATGTTACAACTGTCTCTTTTTCCGTCTGCACTCGCAAATCTGGTGACAATTCGGCGCTAAAATGTTTACCCTAAGTCAGGTCTGTTCGCACGCAGGATAAAAGACGCCTTAATACTAGAATTGGCTTCCGGGTTGGAGCCGCGTTCAGAAGACGAGAGAGCCCGACGTTTCGCCAGCATTGCAGCTAGCTTCATCAGGGAATCAAATAATCTCTGATACTGAAGAAAGTATCAGAGGGGACCCTAACTTATACCTGTGTCCATCGTTGCGGATCAGTGCACTATCCAATAGTTTTTAATTGGGCAGCTGGCCAATTAAAAAAAAAAAACTGGGAGGAAGCTGTTCCAGATTGGATTGAGACATAGACCTTTATCCTTTAAATAATAGACCTTTATTATTTAGGGTCCCCTCTGATACTTTCTTCAGTATCAGAGATTATTTGATTCCCTGATGAAGCTAGCTGCAATGCTGGCGAAACGTCGGACTCTTTCGTCTTCTGAACGCGGCTCCAACCCGGAAGCCAATTCTAGTATTAATCACTATGGCCGCGAAAGCCTAAAAAAATATTAAAAGACGCCTTGTTCTACTGTCCTCCGCTGACTTGAAGTCCCGTGGCAGGAATGCGGGAGAAGTAGAAGGGATGCACGTACTCCCACGCACACATTGAACTCTGGCTCGCTATTCGTCGCGGCAGTTGCACGCATGCGTGGACTGCCTGAGAGCGAGAGAGCGAGATAGATAGATGGGCGGTCACGCGGGACTTCAAGTCAGCGGGCCACAATTCATATTAACGCCTATTGAAAACGATAAAACTTTAGACAGGTGCAGTTGCAAAACTACCAGTGCTTTATCCATAATTGAACAACTGTTAGAATCGACAAAGCCTCCCCTTTAAAATAGCTTTCGTTTTATGTCAATCTGACTTCCCGTTTTGGAAATAACGTCGTGTAAAGGATAGTGTGATATTTTAATTTCCACTATCGATGCTGCGATCTAACGCGTTGGATATTTCTCTCTCTCTCTCTCGCGCGCATGCGCGTATGTGAGCCGTGACCGAGTGACCGAGCAACGTAATATTTCCAAGCATTCGCGTGAGGTGGACGCGACGTCCAACAATGAAAAATAAACAAATGCTTGCAACCCTTGTATCTCCGGAACTAATTACGCTATCGACTCGAAACAAGTTTCATTTTAAAGGGCTCTTCGCCCTCTATCCGTCGAAAATTTAGAGTGAAATTATTCAACACTTCTGTACAGATTTTTAAAATTTTAAGAAAAAATATTCGACATAAAAGAGAAAGATATATTACAAATAAATTTCAAACACACAACTTTCTATACATATAATGGAAAAATTAAAAGTACCTTGCCTCGTAATAAAGGCGAAGAATGACTGGTCATTTGACCGGTTATAGGATCAGTATACATAAGCGTCGATAGGTTTAGCATATTCGAAAGGCCTGCTTTCTCGAAGCAGTGCTCGAGTAAGAACCGGAAATATTTAATCGTAACTTGTACAATCTCTTACCAATATTGAAAAGAATATTTAACCAACATTAATAACATCCTTTTTTCTATTCTTCTATAAAGGTTTATCGTGGAATCCAGTACATTTGCATCGAACCCTTTTAGGCATAATTTCCGTCTTATTATCGATTAAGAAATGCCCCTATATACGTTATCAAAACAGCTCCGAAATGGCGAAGAGATTGGCAGAGAAGATACGCGAGATATTGAGCAAGGAGTCGAATTCGTTCGAGTTTAGACAGGAATCGAGCCCGGTTCTACTTATACTCGACAGAAGAGACGATCCCGTTACTCCTTTGTTAAATCAATGGACTTATCAGGCTATGGTTCACGAGTTACTAACTATTAACAACAATCGTGTAAATTTGTCACATGTAAAAGGCATCTCGAAGGAATTGAAAGAAGTTGTTCTCAGCGCGGAACACGATGAGTTTTATACAAACGTAAGTATCATGATTAAAAAATATTAATTATCAGACTATGAATTTTTATGTTATGATAAATATTGCAGAATGCATACGATATTCGTGCATGAAAAATATACAAATATTCGTAATATTGAACATTAAAAATACATTTTACAGTTATCTTGAATTACAAATAAATAATAATCATTTTCTTCAAATTTAACGCCGGTATTTTCTTCAAAATTAATGTACACTTCGAAAATGAGATTTATAAATATACTTTAATCTACTGTGCTCGAATTGCATAAATCACGCTTTATATTTTTCAAATAAGCGACAGATAATTTTTTTTTATTTTTTATCTCGGTATACATAAATAAATAGAAAGGCGGCTTAATCATAAGGAATACAAACTATTGTTTACAATTTATTAAACTATTGTTACAAATTATCTTAAGCAGTTATAAAATCAAGTTTAAAATCAACAGATTTTCCCGCTCTTTTGCGATATTTGATTATTCATTTGTGCACCTAATAAAAGTGAGAAAAAAACGTTTGAAATAAAGGCAATTGTTTTGAACAGAATTTGTACTGCAATTTCGGTGAAATTGGACAAACGATAAAGGAATTGATGGACGAATTTCAAAAGAAGGCTAAAAATCATCAGAAGGTGGAAAGTATAGCTGACATGAAAAATTTTGTAGAGACTTATCCCTTGTTCAAAAAACTCTCTGGCACCGTGGCTAAACACGTGACAGTGGTTGGAGAGCTTTCCTCGTTCGTGGAGAATCATAAATTGTTAAAAGTGTCGGAATTGGAGCAAGAACTTAGTTGTCAAAATGACCATTCTATGCAGGTACATAAAGCTCAATATTTTTCTTTATTACACGTTGTAGTAATATTCTGTTTCTTCTTGTTGTGATTGTAGCTTCAAAAATTAAAAGAGCTGATCAATAATCATCAAATTCGAGAAATTGACTGCGTGAGATTAGTAATGTTGTATGCACTTCATTATGAGAAACACACAGCCAACGATATCGGTGGTTTATTGAACTTATTGAAAAGTAAAGGGATTTCAGAAAAATACACCAAGGTATATTGGAACTAATATACATATAATTATAAGTACGTTTTTGATACATCAAGTTCCAACGCAATTAACAAATAATACTGTTTTAGCATGTGCATAATATATTACAATATAGTGGAATTAATACAAGGCAAAATAATTTATTTGATCGTGAATCGGTGGCCAAGATAACTAAAAAGTTGTTCAAAGGTTTAAGTGGAATAGACAACATATATACTCAACACACACCGTTGTTGTACGAAACGGTCGAAGATTTAATAAAGGGAAAGTTAAGTTCGCAGACGTTCCCATATCTTGGAAATACAATAATATCTAAAAGGTGAATTTTTTGGATTTCTTTAAGAATTTTTTTTAAGCTAATTAATGACACTGTGATTGGTTAGTGATACTGAGTAATCAAATACACAAATAATCGTTTCAGGCCGCAGGATATAATTATTTTCATGATCGGAGGAACAACGTACGAAGAAAGCTTAACCATCTATAATTTGAATAAACAAAATTCCGGAGTGAGAGTTATTTTAGGAGGCACCACTATCCACAATTCCCAAAGCTTTTTAGAAGAAATTAAGCATGCCACATCGGGCATCTTCTCAAAATATAAAAATAATAATAATTAAAATTATAATATATCATAATATATTTTTAATATATTTTCAATCGAAGTATTTATTACTAGTAAATGATCGGCGTATTAAAATTGTTTTTCCAAAAAAAGCTCCGCCGATAAAATAAGAAAAAATTGTAAAATTAACGAAAATAGAATGTTATATTAATGTTAAGATTAATACACTTGTTTGTTTTTTTTGGTGTTGTAACTATATTTCCTTGAACTTTTCACCAATACATATTCTACAGATATGTATAAAACATCAATCATACTAATGATAAGAGGATCAAGAATTATTGTTTTTTAACGATTTTCATTGAAGGAATTCAGTGTTCGTTGTTTTTAACAAAATTTATTATCTAATGTCTCCACTGCAAGATAAATGAAAAAGAAAAAAAGTTGTTTGTTTCACAGTTTCTATCTTCGGGTCTGTTTTTATTAATTAAAGATAAATGATGTATTTTTAGTATTAAACGTGAGATTATTAAGCGACAAAAAGCGCCCTCTAGAAAGAGTTAATTCTTGTTTTCGGTGTAACGCTGGTTCTAGCTGTTCCTTTTAATTCTGATGCAATTTCAGAGATATTATCGAATGGACAAACATTGAAAAATTAAATTTGTAGAATATGCTAGAGGATAGCAGCTGTTATAATTTATTTATGATTTATATCCCAATAGTGTTCGCCATAGGTGCCATCTACATTTGCCCACTTAACCTGTACAAATAAAATTTCTTGTTTGAACAGTAATACTATCGAGCTTGACGAAGAACCATTTATTTTACAATTCCTATGCAAGATAATTCTAATTTTAATGCTTGCAACATTACCTTTCCTCGATGACGATTTTTTGAAAAATCCTTCTCTTCGAATCTTTGCTCCCATTCAATCGGATTTTCACAAATGTGTCCAAATTGTAATTTATTACCAAGTTGACGTTCCTCAAATATATCTCTGAATTTTTTAATGCATATTTTATAATCTTTTCAAATAATGTACAACTAAATATAATAAACAGTCTTTCTTTTTTCGATCAAAGAATATTTCAAATCGATTCTGGATTATACTTGCCGAAACAGTTGTTTTTGCACTGCAATTCCTTGGAGACCTTCATCGACGGTCTTTCCTCGTAATTCTTCGACCGCATCTGTAACATTTTTACCATTTTCATAGATTATCACATTGACTGCCAGGTCAAATTTTTGAAATTTTCTACGAGATCATTTAGACAATTAATTAAAAATTTGTAAAAATTAAAAATTCGGTCATCACAGGGAAAAATTTTAATGGGGGATTCTAGAGGCCAAAATAAGACGAAAATCAAGAATTCCAATTTGTCGATGGAGGCCTCGTTAAAAAGTTATTAACGTTTGAAGTTCCGCTCGTACTGAATTTTTTTCTCGAAAATGCGCAAGATTTCGGGGTTATATGTAATGACCAAAAATGATTGTAATTGACCCCCGCAACCGAAAATAATTTTTCCAGAACGATTTGAAATTTTTTTTCCCGTCGAAAAATTTCACACCTCGAATTTTTTTCTCGAAACTGGATAAGATTTCGAAGGTATGTGTTTTCACCAAAAATGATTGCAATTGACCCCCGGAGCCGAAAATAATTTTTCCAAAACGATTTGAAATTTTTGTTTCCGTCGAAAAATTTCACACCTTCTCGAATTTTTTTCTCGAAACTGGATAAGATTTCGAAGGTATGTGTTTTCACCAAAAATGATTGCAATTGACCCCCGGATCCGAAAATAATTTTTCCAGAACGATTTGAAATTTTTTTTCCCGTCGAAAAATTTCACACCTTCTCGAATTTTTTTCTCGAAAATGCGCAGGAATTTGGGGGTATGTGTATTCACTAAAAATGATTGCAATTAACCCCCGCAACCGAAAATAATTTTTCCAGAAAGATATGAAATTGTCAAATTTAATTGTTAATAACTTTTTAACGAAGCCTCCATCAACAAATTGGTATTCTTGATTTTCGTTGTATTTTGGCCTCTAGAATCCCCCATTAAAATTTTTCCCTAATCTGATCGAAATTCATGTTTTCAAAAAAAAAAAAAATTAATAGACTACCTGGCGAAATTTTAATCATTTTTTTCCCAGCGCTTGTAATGACAAAGAGAAATAAAAACGGTTGTAAAGTAACCAATCGAAGCATATCGGGTCACTGACTTAATTACTTCAATTATGAACACTTTTGAACGATTTTAATGTAAGGGAGACTAGAGTCTCTGATAATGTTTCGAACCGAACTGGTGATCGATTGCTCGGAGAATATTTGCCTGTGCTGCTCTCATTACGCTGACATTTTTTGTCATTATGAAAGTTGGTAGCTATAGATCACATCTATGGTCGGAAATGATAAACTTTCATCGATTAAGACTTGAAATGTTAGGTTTCAACATAACCTCGTTGAACACTAGAACACCCGACGATGTTAAGATTATAAGATAATTAGGTAGTCATTAAATTATTTCGTTTGTGGTTTCCAAAAATACGATTTTATTAGAAACGCTTCATGAAATTTTACAATGGTATGTATACGCATATAGCTGTACGTACATATGTATTGACATATACGCATTTATACTTAAGAAATACAAGCATGCTGTATCGTACAGTACAAAGTATATCAATATAAAAGCTACTTTGTTCGTATGTTCACGCACACTTATATTACAATCATCGAACAGTCGACAAATAAAGAAAGGCATTTGTCGAGCCAAGAATTTCGAAATGAACTATATACCGTAAATTTATTCTCTCAATAAATGAATATAATCGTATGCTTCACTTTTTCTGCCATAACGATCATCAAAAGTTTGATTGCATGTAGAATTTTTATGGACTAATATTTCTTAACAATTCACGGACAAGATAATTGCCTTTGTAAAATCTGTTCGATTACGCACGATCGTTATCGATTATCTTCGCCCAAAACTTCGTGATACTCTTGGTGTTAAAATCTGGTCCATCGATCACGACACTATTACAATTTAATAAATGTACGATCGACCAATCAGCGATAGAATATCCGCGGGGTCTTCCGATAGTTAAAACTGACTTAGTTTTATTCTATGGTTTTTCTGTCGATAACTCGTGAAAAATACATTGGGTGTTCGATGCAGTGATCTAACATAGATCATACACAGGCCATTTTATTATCAACTTTCGTATAAAGGTATCGAAAAAGGTTTGCATTTTTACAAATAAGTTATAAAACCCATCTCTATAAATAGGTCATTAAATTTAAATAAACACTGTATAAAAGGTCATGACCTTAAGTATCTGTTTAAATGGATGGTTGCCATAGAAAAAAGCTGTTAGTCCTTCAGTCAAACGTGATAACATAGATGGCGTTTCGTAACACAGCGCTTGCGTTTGGATACAAATTGTGTCCTTTTAAAGGCGGTTTTATTTCGACAGAAATTAAATATGTGGAATTCGTTTCGTCCAATCATTCGTATTCGAGATAATGGTCTTCGAAAATACGTGTGGTATGCGCGCGCTTAATTCGTGTACGCAAAGTGGACAGAGTTAATTATGAGAAAATGGCGTTGTAGTTTATAAATTATTACCTATATACATTAATAGAACGAATTATTTAACAGGGCGTGAGTGTACCGCACGTATTTTCAAAATCACTTCAGACGTAGAAGAAGAAAGAAAATTTATTTCACAATTTCGATTTATTCTTCTGCACTACGCAGAAATTTATAAGTCGACGTGTTTAAATCGTCGCCAACTTACGATCTTTTCGTAGCACGTTCATTCAAATGCAAAATGGGATACTACACTTAAGCATCGCGGATTGTGAAATTTCATTCTCTTTACAGGTATTGTTAAATCACAGCGAAGTTGTGAAATTGATTTTCAAAAAGGAATGCTTTTTGCCTGCCTGTAAGCGTCTAATGTTTCTCACGAGACGATACATGACGTAAGAAAGACCTTAACCAACGTTTATTTCGAACGAAAAACCATCATCTATCTCTTCTACGGTCATCTGCGCGCGTTTGCGCAGAGGACTGTATCAGATCAACGTGTAATACTGTTTTATGTGTCGCGTGTAGAGTCGTTTGCTAGTATGTATTTGGTATAATTGTCCCGCTGTCTAAGCAATGTCACGCCAGTAGATGTCGCATCGATCGTTCTGGTTTTGTGCGCATGTACGGTCGGCCATTACAATTCTTACAGCGCTAAGAGAAATTCATTAGCTCGTGTACCAATCTGAACATCTTTCGGGCAGCCATTTTGGATGGTATTGGGGGTTGATTACTTTCTTTTAGAGGGCAAGAATTAATATTACCCGGGAGTACATAAATAATTTCGATATTTGGTAGAAAGGCTGAAAATGGGTACTACCACCTCGAAAGATCAAAAAATTGTACTTTCGTAAAGTATCGAAAATATGTTCTTGAACTGGTATGCCTAAATTTGATAAAATAACAAACGTATACAAATATTACGAAAATGATGCACGAGTAAATTTTATTCTCATATAAAATAGATAAAATAAAGAAAAAAAAGTAAAACATTTTACGAAATTTTGATTTATATGACTGCCATTTTGTCAAAATACATTTCTTTCACTTGAATATGTATAACATTCTGGAAACGAACAATAATTTGAAGGATAATAAAGGTAACTGCATCGCAATTAAAATCCGTTATCCTAAAATATGACCAAACATTTATGAAAACTTTCTAGACTCTAACGTTTATCCTAAAAATTGTTTAAAAACGATATTTCTAAATAGAAATACCCCTTTAAGACGAAAAACTGCTGCTCGAAGATATCTTCTTCTCTTTCAATTGTTACAAAATGCTTAAGTATGTTTATACAGGTGCATATTTCTTTAATAGATTTAATTATTATCATCACTAGTGGAAGAACCTCTTAAAAATGAACAAGAATAAATATAAAGTATGGGAGAAGTAGCTCCGATGACCTTGATATTAACATATGTTGCAGAGAATATCTCTTAATTAACTTTCAGAAGGTTTTGTTGTATTTAAGCATTAAAAACAGTTTTGGTTGGGCCGACATGCCGGCAGAGCGCGCTCTATTTAGAGCCTAAATGCACGTCTTCTTTTTTTAGAGCAAGAAACGTGTGATCGCTTCTTTTGTCTCTGACGCGATGAATCCAGTTTTGTGCAAACTGAATTATGGCAATCTACCCTTTAATACCCAAAATTTTAACAGGTTTTAGGAAGATGTTTGAAAAATACGACTTATATATTTATAATTAAATAAATAGAATTACTATAATATATATCAGGTCCAAACTATAATGTAACCTCAAATTCAAATCCCATATTTTAATTTATACAATGTCAAAAAATTACATGACATTGATGAAACTTTTTTTTGTTAAGAACATTATCATAAACAATACTGCTAAAACCTTCCGAAGGTTAATTAGGATATCCAATACAATGAATCTCAAGGTCAAGATCAAGATCAAGATCGTTGGCGCTGCTTCCCTTATGCTGTACAATTACTGAAAATATTAAGGAACACATAAAAGAAACAGAATGCGGCAATGTAAATAGTAGTTTTCAATTTAAAGCATGCAATAAAGTTCGTTTGAATTTCTGGTTAGGTTGCAAGATATCGATAGCCGCCATTGTACTAATTAGTAGATCATTTTGATGTGATTTTGTCTTGAGCACTTTCCACCAAACATCAAAAAGCTTGAATTCTATAAATGTATACCATGTAGACTAGTATGTAACAAAGTGGTTGTTATTGCGGAACAAAAGATAAACAGTTACAGAAATCAATTTGATAAATCCACTAACGCCGTGGGATACATTTTTCTAAAAAATTTCTACGACGTTAGCAACAACGGAAAAAAACTCATCGTTCATCATGTAACTTCGAAGGGATGATGCAAATCCAAGCGGGTACGTTAACACTTTTGACCGCCAGGTGTCGCCACCCATACATGGGTGACAGAACCTTTCACTATGAAATTAAAACGAACGAAGCCTCGAGTTATGAATTTTATCGAGGTTGCAAAAGGGTATACCAAATACAAATTTTAGGTTATGTAATTGTCTAAAATCGAAGTTTCAGTCTCATAGAGAATTCTACGGTTTCGGTCTGGTAGTCAACGTGTTAATTTGTTCATGGTACGCTTCTTTTAAATTGTCACCCTCGTGTTCAAAATCCTTTTTCCTCGAACTAACAGGACACTAATTAGTCGTTTACACGAATACGATTCAAGCGAAAGCAAAGTTTAATTAGGAAACCATGCAGTTTCACGATACACTTCATATAGCACCCCTCTCGTCTCCCTCGACTCTGACACGCTACTACAGACGTAACTAATGAAACCAAGGTGATTCGGTGCTTGATTCATATAAAATCTGCGCGCGACTAAATCGCGCTTCTATCGTTTCTAAAGGTAACTTCAACTAAAACGTTATACGCATGTCACGTGTAGAATTAGTAGTATACGTACAACTCGGATAGCACCTACGGCCTAGGGGTTCTTTGTCGCGGTTCCAGCCCGTGCGAAAGAAGACTTTTTAAACGTTCTGCATCGTTTTCGAATGCGACGGGTTCAGCGGCTGCGTGAGAGCAGTGGGTCCTTTCCGTTTGTTTCTCCTTCTCGCGCGTTGCTTTCGGGCCTCCGACTTCGCTCCAACGGCCAAGAAATTATTTTGGAAGTACTCCTCGATCTCGGAGAGCTTCTTGCCGTGCGTTTCAGGCAGCAACAGCCACACGAAAACAACGGCGCCAAGTGAAATGCCGGCGAAGAACCATTGCACAGCGTAGGACCCTTCAAAAAATAAATATCTAGATTTTTATTGAAGAAGACATGAAGGGACGAAATTATAACTAATAACTCTTTAATCGCAAATAGCGTTTATAGAAATTGACTTGGTCGAGTGAAATCGATGAGGATCGGTATCAACGTTCCTCTTGTAAGCAAAAATTACTTGACGACATTGTCTCTTACTGATGGTACTGCATTATTTTTAATCGTTATTGAAAATAACTGTTTCAAACTGTTATGTGTAGAATGGTTCTGACTGAGTCAGTTTCTGCAGAAATGGTCCAAACATCTAAGATATTTTAGAGAATTTGTCAGGTACGTACCACCCAAAAAGCTTTGCAAGCTTCTGTAACTCTGCAGAGCAGCGAACATCAGCATGTTGGCTATCGAGTAGCTGATGGAATGAGCTATTCCTCTGATCTCGGTTGGGAACAGTTCCGCGGTCATGGTCCATGGAATAGTCAGCATGCCGACCATAGACGTGCAAACGTATAGCAACAGGCAAAGAACAGGTACCTGATGGAACAGAGAAATTGGTTGAAATTGGTCTCAGTGTTGCTAGATTTAAATGCGTACCCAGTAGCCAGACCGATCGCCGTCCCTAATAAGGAGAGTGAAGTAACCGGAAACGGTCATACAAGCCGCCATTCCCAAGGACGAGACTATACACAACGGACGTCTCCGGAATCGCCTCAGCAGCCACGTGTTCACCATCGAACACAGGAAACGCGTCACACCGACTAGAATCGAGGCCAAGTATTCGTTCACGCCAGCGCCAACTTCCTGAACAACGGTGATTAAAATTATGAAACGCGTATCTTGGTTAACGATCACGATTCTCGAACATGATTCAGCCACCGTCGCTTACTTGGAACCACGTGACAGCGTAGAAGAGAGTAATGTAAATTCCGGAGAACTGTTGGAAGAAGAAGAACAGAAAGAGTATCGTCATTGGCTTCCATCCGGTAGGCTTCAAGAATGCTCTCATCTTTGTGGACAGGCCGCCATGTTTGCTCTTCCTCTGCTCGTTAAGTTTGATTTCTTTCTCCTTCATGATCGTTGTCAATTGCGCTTCCGCGGCGGACACTTTCCCTTGCTTTGGTTCGTATTTGTACAGCCTGCGAATAAAGTAAAATAAAATCATTTATCAAAGAAAAGAAAATCCTAATATAATACCTAATATTTATTATTATTAACGCGTTTACTGCCGCATTAGTATCGTTTTACAAACATTCTATATGTTATATAATATAATATAATATAAGAATAATAGTTTCTATTATTCTGAACACAAGAGTGCAACCTTGACTTACACCACTATAATTCTAAACAGGGCAAGTCATCTTTCAGTAAAGAATTTTTAATTAAGATTTGAAAGATAGTGTTAACATAAATGTTTAATATTTGTTAACTGGGCCAAGTAATATTCCAACTGTCTATCCAATGTTATTTGTTATGGATAGTTTCTCACCATTCTAGCGACTTTTTCGCATCCTCCGTTCGACCCTTGGAGACCAGCCACACAGGGGACTCGGGGACGAACAATTCTACCAAAATGATCGGCACGACGGCGTAAATAATGCTGATCCAGGCTACCAATCTCCAATGTATGTATGCTCCCTTCACGTACGAGAGTACCATTCCAAAAGAGGCCAGAGTCGGTCCGAAAGATATCATCGAACCCCTCAATTCTGGCCGTGCTACCTCGGTGATGTAGACAATAGCAGGAGAAGTTGCTAGAGCGGTGGACAGTCCAGTCAATAGTCGACCGACCAAAAGCATCGGAATGTTCGTTGAAAGTGCTATGAGGATCCATCCCGCCACGCAGGGAATCACGCCTATTTGAAGAGTCCTTAACCTTCCCAATATCTCCATCAGGAAGCCGCCCATTAAGGCACCCACAGGCGTACACACTACCACCACGCTGGCTGAAACATTGATTTTTATTAGATTTGTTTTAGAGCACAACACACGGTAGGAACTTCAACGTTCCCAAGCAAACAGAGTTAAACACTTTTGCAACCAATGGCAAGAACTACCATTGATGACCACAACTGGATTACCCAATGGTGATAGTTTTAATGGAACTTGTTATAAAAACCAATACCCTTCAAGAAATCACAGATTCCATTTGATTACATACAGTATTACTTATATTTAAACTAGTTCTAGGTGAATAAAATTGGTGTTTTTGACTGCCTATGGCTCCCATGGTCTAGCCTAACTATTGTGTAATTCTTAGTAATGATTATAATAAGATCATCAAGTGCTCGTCAAACTGCGACAATTATCACTTTGTTCAATGTTAATTCATACACTGGGCATGTCCTCGTTATGATTGATGCACAGTATTCGTGTTTTACTCATGCTTATGGTCGTTGTTCATCGTGCTACCGACTTTGTTAGATCTTGGAAACCGCTCACCTATCCAGGAAGTTTCCTCTTGAGTGGCGTGCAATTCCGCATCCGCGGCCTCCAGGTGAGGAATGAGGATCGCCGAGTACGCCATGCTGAAACCCACCGATATGTGGAAAGTCGCGGCTATGATGCAGGCGGCGATCTAAGGAAATATTCGACAAAGAAATCGTTAAAAATAGAGAGGAAGACAAATTTGATTCGCAAGTGACAAATCAAAATTTGTAATTCGTTTTTAATTTACCTGACATAAACAAGAATTTTTAATGAATTTTATTGAAATACTTTATTGAAAATGAGTTTTAGTGAAAAACAATTTCAGTAGAATTGCTAAACGGAAAGCACGACAAAATAGGCTGGGCGCTTAACGTGTTAAACATTGTCATTAAATTTAGATTACAGAGTGGGTTTTCAGTGTACCTCAGGTATGGCATTTCTGATAGTTGTCGTTTCGGTGAAGCCTTTATTGAGGCTTCTGCTCGACACGATCGCATCCTTGAAGCACTCTCTTTCATTTTCTTCGATGTTCTTCGACGCCTCGCGTTCAACACTAAAACAAATACGATAATCTTCGGATAAAGGAATTGATATTTCCCAAAATTTCGATTTCTCCCGGATAACTGAAACGAAATCGAATCGACATTGTTTCAGTTATCCGGGAAAAATCGAATAACTGAAATCGGATTACCGGATAACTGAAACAAAATCGAATCGACATTCTTTCAGTTATCCGGGTAAAATCGAATAACTGAAACCGGATTACCGGATATCTGAAACCGGATTACCGGATAACTGAAACAAAATCGAATCGACACTATTTCAGTTATCCGGGAAAAATCGAATAACTGAAACGGAATTACCGGATAACTGAAATAAAATCAAATCGAAATTGTTTCAGTTATCCGAGAAAAATCGAATAATTGAAACCGGATTATCGGATAACTGAAACAAAATCGAATCGACACTATTTCAGTTATTCAGGAAAAAACCGGATAACTGAAACCGGATTACCGGATAACTGAAACAAAATCGAATCGACATTGTTTCAGTTATCCGAGGCATTACAGCCATTTCGTTTAAATAAAAACGATTATTATACAAAATACAGTCCAAACAAATATACTTTATTTTCTCAATTTGGATCCTCTTTGAAGTAAAAAATAAAAGTTATAATAATTTCTACTTAAAATGTACAACTAATTTGTCCATATTGTATAAAAAAAAACCGAACTTAAGGCAATTAACGTAACCTAGAAAATACTTATTTAATTAAACGAGTTCGTAAAATATTCTGTATGTGGATATTATAAAATATAATAACGAGCATGTATCAAAGTACATAGGAAAGTGTAAGGTGTCAATTGATGCGCAACATATTGACGTTTTAAACTGAATATTTGCATTTCTAATTAATCTTCGATCGCGTCATGTGAATTTTCCATCGTCTATGTAACATCACCAATCCTGAATTGTATTTCGAAATACAATGTTCCAAGCCTTGCCACTGCCCCAAGAAACAATTAAACCTTAAACCCTAAATTATTACTTGCATTGGATATTCTGATCCACGTATTATTTATCAGTTTCTATGTATACGAATATGAGTCAATATTTGCTAGTTCGTTTCTAAATTATTATATAATGGCTGCCGTCATTTATTTTTCTCGATGCATTTCGCCAATACATTTGCACGCCGAATTAGCATGCGCTACAAATGAAAGTCCACTTTCTTGTTATATCATAAAATAATTCATTATCTGTTCGTGTTACAGGATTCTAAAATACGAAAGAGTAAGAGTAGAAATTCCCCATGTTATATCATAAAATAATTCATTATCTGTTCGCGTTACAGGATTCTAAAATATGAAAGAGTAAGACTAAAAATTTCCCATGGACCAAATAGACGTTCGTGCTATGAGCATTAGTTACGAAAATAAAAAATCAGTCATGAAAAGAGTCACGTAAAATTGTTTCGAAAAAAACCTTAAGTGTCCGGAACTAGGGGAATTCCCTGTGAAAGAGGATCCGTGATCGAACGCACACAGTTATTTGTATAGTTTAATGAAAATAACAATGATACGATACGCGAGAGATACAAGAAAACGTGGATGAGCTCACACGACACATGCGACACATAATGTATTCTCCACTCGCTAGGTGGCGCTGGAAAGGCGTCAACGAGTGTACCGCCACGCGAGTGCGTGTCCCCAGAACTAACACTCCCCCCTATAATGATTATAATTTGTGAACCAGATCGAATCACCTATTTATACGAACTCTTTCCATAGTTTCTGTGTCCACGATGAATTCTTGAAGCGAAGATCCTCGTGTTAGAATAAAGACTACATGTTCTTCTACACATGTTACAATCAGAAATCTGAAATACCTGTAATACCTCGGACCATAAAAGACTTAAATATCTTATAAGAGTTCCTGTTTCTCAATTCCAGATGCAAATAAACTTATTACTGTCTCTAAAGATATTAAAGACGTATGTATTCTTAAGCGTAATTTACAATTTTTCTTCGTAATCTATCAATATTTATCACGTAGAAGTCACGCATTTTTATTTGCCCGTCAATCTTAGCACAGGGAATACCAGACCGCTCGACGATGCACTATTATACAGGGTGTCCGACCACCCGTGGGAAAAATTTTAATGGAGGATTTTAGAGGCCAAAATAAAACGAAAATCAAGAATACCAATTTGTTGATGGAGGATTTGTTAAAAAGTTATTAACGTTTAAAGTTCCGCTCGTACTGAATTTTTTTCTCGAAAATGCGTAGGATTTCGGGGGTATGTCTATTCACCAAAAATTATTATAATTGGCCCCCACAACCGAAAATAATTTTTTTAGAACGATTTGAAAAATTTTTTTTTCGTCAAAAAATTTCACACCTTCTCGAATTTTTTTCTCGAAAGTGGGCAGGATTTCGAGGGTATGTCTAATGATAAAAAATTATTGTAATTGACCCCCACAACCGAAAATAATTTTTCCAGAACGATTTGAAATTTTTTTTTTTCCGTCGAAAAATTTAGGCACCTAATTAGATTTTCGGTATGGAATTTTTTTCTCGAAAGTGCGTAGGATTCCGGGGGTATGTGTAACGACCATAAATGATTATAATTGACCCCCACAACCGAAAATAATTTTTTTAGAACGATTTGAAAAATTTTTTTTTCGTCAAAAAATTTCACACCTTCTCGAATTTTTTTCTCGAAAGTGGGCAGGATTTCGAGGGTATGTCTAATGATAAAAAATTATTGTAATTGACCCCCGCAACCGAAAATAATTTTTCCAAAACGATTTGAAATATTTTTTTTCCGTCGAAAAATTTCACACCTTCCCGAATTTTTTTCTAGAAAATGGTCAGGATTTCGAGAGTATGTCTATTCACCAAAAATGATTGTTATTGACCCCCGCAACCGAAAATAATTTTTCCAGAACGATTTGAAATTTTTGAATTTAATTGTTAATAACTTTTTAACGAAGCCTCAGTGAAGAAATTAATATTCTTGATTTTCGACTTATTTTGGCCTCCAGAATCCCCCATTGTTCGATTTGAACGCTGTAGCTTAAGTATTTTCAAAAATCATTTTCAAATTTGAATTCGCCGAAAATAATTGACTCGAAAAGTTTTTTTTTTATTTATTAGTTTATTCACGTAATTATATTTATTTAGATAAACTATCATTCGTAAAATACGAAGACCGAATGACGAATAACGATTATCATAATAATTTCGTAGATATTTAAAAAATTAAAGATACATATGTATTCAAGCAACTATGATTAAATCTATAATTTTCTAAACGATCGCCTTTCGTAACGATGACATCATCGCGAGCCAGTTTATCGAGCACGCGTGGTGTTTACGTCTGTTCTGTTAATTGTGAATAGATTTATGGCAGCTGGCGATTTATTGCGACAAGTTGTTGCAACTTAAATCGACCGATGAACAAGTTGAAACACTTTGAATATCGTTTAAAAGGCAGACAGGTTTAAGAGGATTACGTCAGCTCGACGATAACAAAATAAAAGAAATTATTTGTGAATATTAAAAGAAACTAACTTGAACCCAGACCAAACTTGAGCAATATTATTATTTTTAAACATATTCTACATCGTATAAGAAATTAAAAAATTAAAAATTTCCTACAAATTATGACGTCCAGGCTGAATTTATAATATTTTTATTATTTTATTGACCTAATATAAAAATGGGAATAAATAAAAGCCGTGGATTATATAATTTTATTAAAAATATGTTGAGGAATGCAGTGGCGCCACCTATGAAACCGATCCGAATGCGACTGTCCCGCGCGACGACTAGAACGTTCGCTGTACTCGATGATGTTACATGTCTTTTTCATTTTCTAGAAGTTACACTACGTTGAAGTGTTATTAAAGTAATAGTAAGCCATAAAAAAATGTTTGAACGCCATATTTTTCTCATTTCTTCGAATATCTTAGCGAGATCTATTATTTTTGAAGACTCAAGACTACGATTTTATGAAATAAAAAAAATAATTTGTTCGATTTGCTTTTCGCCATAAAAGTGACATAACCCCTTAACGAGCAACGTCGATGCTCAAATCGCTACGAAAAAGAGGATTCAACGACCCTCGTCACTTGTGTCTGCGTTAACATTTTTTGCTTGCTTTGCACTTTCACGAGGGAAAACTTGTTTCATCAAGGAAGACAATAAAGCAGTGTTATATCTCGTTTAGTACAAGAGAGACTAGAACTGAATTGAATTCGATTCGATTCGAACTTATTCCAAAATGAAGATTGAAATGCATGCAGAATAATAAGAAACGATGCTAAGAAACATCCGTGCAAAAACAACCTCAAAAATAAAATAATTTTTCGAGAAATATTTTACGAAATATTACCAACCTTAAGTAGACCTTGTACAATCAAAAAACGAGGTTTCTCTGAACGATTTTAAAACAAAACTGGTGAATGCTTGCGTCTGTTCTGTGACAGTTGGTTTCTTACATAGAGTTGATTATCTATAGAACACGTATTCTATGGTACGAATATGGCGAAGAAAAGAAGTTGGCAACGAATGAGAAATGCGAGGTTGGTAGTATGGCGGTACGCGTGGAGATCGGAAAAGGCGCGTGAGAGTATTGAGAGTTTCTACCACCCAATGTATCTTTAAATATATGTATATCTTGACGTGTCAAACAATTGTTATTTCACCGGAATCCACCACATATCTTCGTCTCAAAATACTTCAAAGAAGAATTCTCAAGAGAAGACAACAACACGGATTATTCTCGCTAGCAATTTTAACGGGAATAGTTCTTGTTCGAGCTGTCGAATCAAGTGTCCCAGGGAATTAACTCGCGTTAATTCGAAGGTTTTAAATGAATCTAATGGTTCTTTCGACGCACAATACTCTACGAGAACTTCTGATGCGAGTGTATATTTTCTCATGACAGGGGATCATCTGTTTCAATTAAATTTAATCCGTTTGCTACAGCAAGCACTGTCGGGACGATTAACTTTGTCGATCGAGCAAGAAATTACAAAGACTAAC